TCAGACATTATGCATTTGTACCCTACTCCAAATTAAGAACCCCTGCTCTAAATTAGCCATGCAGATCACATACTTCCCCTGTATTCTGCCTCCTGTCACACCAGTAACCATGTGTGTAACTCATTAGACACAAATTGAGGTGTACAGACAATTTGGGAAAGCCTTTGTAAACTACATGGCCTTAACCAGACAACGGAATGCTCACATTAAAGACAAAACTTAAAATGAACCAAAACTAAGAGCTACCCTCTACTCACTGAAGGCCTACTGTGTGCCAGGCACTGACCCAGGTGCTTCCCATGAGCAATCTCCAGTCCTCACAACTCATTTATAAATGAATTCATCTTTCCATTTCATTTTCATACCAGGCATGATGCTATGCTATGTAGACACAATGGTGGGAAATCAAAGATAGGGTACCTGTCCAGGTGGAGCTTACCTTTAAATGGGAGACAAATATATTAATCAAAGATCACTCAAGAAAATCTAAAATTATGGGTCAGGTCTGGTGGCTCATGCCTGTAATCCCAGCACTTTGGGAGGCTAAAGCTGGTGGATCACCTGAGGTCAGGAGTTCGAGACTGGCCTGGCCTATATGGCAAAACTCTGTCTCTACTAAAAATACAAAAATTAGCCAGGAATGGTGGTGGTGCATGCCTGTAATCCCAGCTACTTGGGAGGCTGAGGCAGGAGAATAATTTGAACGCAGGAGGAGGAGGGTGCAATGAGCCAAGATCATGCCATTGCACTCCAGCCTGGGCAATTAGAGTGAAAGTCTGTCTCAAAAAAAAAAAAAAAAAAGAAGGGATACACAGTGCTATAAGAGCTCATAACAGGAGGAATAAACCTTTTTATAGAGGTCAGGGAAGAGAGTTCGAGGCAAAAGGTGCATGCGAAAGCCATGTGGCAGGGAACATGGAATGACTTGGGGCTGTATCCCCACAGGAGCTGGGCCACACAGAGTCTTGTAGGCCATATTAAAGAATTTAGCCCCTATTCTTAGAGCACAGGGAAGAAGTCATTCAGGTGTTTCATTATGGTAGTGACATGATCAGATCTGCTTTTCTAAAGAAAACTGTGGGGATGATGTGGGAATGAACGGGAGAAGCCCAGAGGAGACTCAAGGAGGCTTGTTAGGAAGCTGCTGCAGTATAGCAGAGATTGGGGTGGTGGCAGAAGAAATGCAGGCTGGCAGGCTGAGAGACGTTCAGGACATGAAAACCCAAACACACAAGGTGGTAGGGGGCAGACAACTGTCCGGCAGGATGACCAGATTTCTGCCTCATGTGATGGGATAGAGGCAGCATCATTCTGAGCCAGTGAAGCCAGAAGAGAACCAGCTTTGGGGCAAAGATTATAAAGTGCAGGAGGCGGCAAGCAGGCGGCTGGATAATGCGGCCTGGGATCCAGAGGGAGGTTCAGGAGGTTCAGGCTGGTGGGAGAAAACTGAATTACTTGTGAGGAAACGGTTTCTGGAGTTGCAGGCACAATGAGGTAACCCAGAAGAGAACTACAGGTTGAAGAGAGAAACTCAGAGGGATCCAACATTTCTCCATCCTACACATGAGGACACAGGGCTCAAAGAGAAGTGACTTTTTAGGGAACAAAGTGCTAGTAGTAGTAGGAGGAGGCAGAATCGAGTAAAACGTGAAGCCAGAGCACAAGTGCAGGAGTTCATACTGAAAAGAATGCCTATTTTTGGAAAAAAGAGGGTGAAAACCTTCAAGGAAATGCCATGGCTCAAAGGGAAACTGGAATTATGCTAAAGAGAGTGAACAAAATTAATGCAATAAAAGCAAGAACCACTGAAAATGATGACGTCTACATTTTATAGAAATTACTTCTCTTGGGTTCTGCCCTGCCCGCTGCCGAAGACTTCTTTATTTTTTATACCAGTCCATATTCTCCCTCTCTCCTCTCAGAATTCTTATATCATGTGTCTCTTAAGTGTCCAGCATTACACTAAATGTTGAGGATGCAGAGTGGGGACAAACAAGATTCTGTGCTAAAGTTGCTCACAGGCTGAGGATATGGGGCAGGCAGAAAAGCAAATCAACAATTACTTTGGAGACCAGTCAGTGCTAGGAGGGAGGCTGCTACCAGAACACAAAAGAGAGACATGAAATGGTGCAAGCCATCAGCCAGTGCTTCCCAGGGTGATGAATCAGAAAGGTGGGTTAGGCAGCAGCCAGGTGACAGAAGGGAGACAGAGGGATGTCTGAAGGCAGAGATGGGGGGAAAGCATGTGGCATTTGGTGGGCATAGGCGTAGCCAGAGCACAGGATGCATCTTGGGAAATATCACATGAAGCTGGAATGATGTACAGAAACCAGAACTGAAGAGACCTCAAATGCCAAGCTAAGCAGTTTCAATGTTATCCTGAAGTCAACTGGAACCCAAGAAGGGTTTTAAGGAGAAGAGTTACATGATCAAATTTACACGTAAATGCACTCGAGCAGCAGTGTGGAGGAGAGACGGGAACACTCAGGGCCACAGGTAAGAAGGGCAGCATGGAGACTATGAAACTCCTATGAAGCTGTCAAGCTCCAAGGCTTCTGGTGATCTTTCATACAATAAGATAAGGCATAGACAACCAACCAAAGTATCACCCATATCATTTCTTTGACCTTATCTTCCATTACTTGAATTTCTAGTTAACTTTCCACTGGTCAATGTCTCATCTCCTCTAGAAGACCTTAGGCTGTGTGACAACAAATACAATTGTATCTCAAAATTTCTGGCCCATAAAGAGGTGTTTATGACATGCGCTGAGTAATTCCAAGGCTTTCCTGAGATACAACCCTAACCAAGTGAAAGACAATGTGCCTGAACCCAACAGGCAAGGACAGGGACTGGTGAATCCCCCAGAGCACTTCAGAGGAGACCCCAGAGATTTGTTGTCTTTCAAAATATGCTGCTGTTGAAACATAAAGAAAGTGGATACATACTAAGCATCTGCTACGTGCTGGGCATTTTATTCACATTATCATGTTTAATCCTCACAAAACCTTATAAGGAGGTAGCATTTTCAACATTTAACAGATAAACTAAGGCAAAGAAAAGTTATGCAGTTTCCCCAAGGTAAAGGGAATGGTAGAAAGATCATAGGCTTTGGAATCAGACAATGTGGTCATGTGACTTTGAGTCTCAAATAGAAAATGCAGATACTAATTAACTAACCCTAATAACTAACACCTGTTTCACAGTTATTATAAAATGATCAAGTATGTGAAAGTCCCTTTTATATTAATTATAAAGCACAATTCAAACTCTTATTACTTTGGTAAAGTTGCATTTTGGGGAGGACCACTTATTTACCACATACAACCTGACCTACAGTGGCTTCCAAACACAGGTCATTTAATCCTGCCTGCTACGGACAACAGAACTTCATACTAGATTAAACTTTAAATTATTAATGGTCTTACTGCTATACTAATTTAGCTATAGTTTTGTGAAATCACCTGGGGGAAAGAATTTTAATAAAAATTCAATCTTCAGTCCTCAATTTAAAAAGGGCTTCCTCTGAAAAATAAAATGTAAATGTAGTTGATTATAAATGTGCTTAAAAAAAAAGTCATCCAAAGTTCAGGCTAAGGAATAACCAGACCATCAGTTAAAGGTTTCTCTTTTTTCAGCTTTGATATATTCAGATGGCTACGGAAATTATTCTACTTGACTTCACAACTTCATAACACTCATAAATCTTTGTTATTTTTAATTCATAATTCATAATCTCCTGTATGGCTAAGACAACTTCCTATATATCTGATCACTTCTAAAAGACACTTACAGTACTCTTTCATTCATTCAAAAGAATTTTATTGAGGGCCTCAGACAAGAACTAGACACTATGCAGACACAAATTCATAAGACTTGGGCCCTGCCCTCTTGGAGCTTACAGTCTAATATGGCACAAAAAGGAAATTGTACAAAGTACTAGACCTGCAAATGAGGATCAGGTAATAAATGCAGTGACTTCAGATAGGGATAGATCATATATGGCCACACCATGAAAATGCTTCACAGTGGAGATAGAATTTCAATAAAGACAGAGAATTTCTTAGGATTCTCACAAGTAGAATATGTTTTTGGAAGATGATACAACACGAGGAAAAAGAAAGATACAAAAAAAGGTTTTAGGTGTATTTGATAGGAAGGGGGCAGAGATTCTGGAGAAAGATAAGATTAGCTGGAATAATGCTTTATCAGGAAATAGTGGAAAATAAGGCAGGAAAGGTAGCTGGGAGTCAGAAGGAAGACACCATTGGGCTCTTGGTCAACAAATGACATACTAAATGTAGGTAGTTCAAGGAGATTCTTCTATAGTAGCGTTGTACAAGATGGCAACAAGATTCTAAGTGTCCAGGAATGTGATACGAGGAATAAAAATAAAAACATAGGGATAAAATACATCAGAAGGGAAATGGAAATAACTTTAACACTAATCGAGAGTAAGGTATCAGCCGGGTGCAGTGGCTCACGCCTGTAATCCCAGCACTTTAGGAAGCTGAGGCAGGTCGATCACGAGGTCAGGCGTTCAAGCCTAGCCTGGCCAACAAAGTGAAACCCCATCTATACTAAAAATACCAAAAAGTTGGCTGGGTGTGGTGGCAGGAGCCTGTAATCCCAGCTACTCAGGAGGCTGATGCAGGGGAATCACTTCAACCCGGGAGGTGGAGGTTTCAGTGAGTCGAGATCACACCACTGAACTCCAGCCTGGGCAACAGTGCGAGACTCCATTTCAAAAAAAAAAAAAAGGGAGAGACAGTAAGTTATCAAAATTACTCTGAGCTGTAGCAGAGCTAGAAAAATCTGGAGGAGCTGATTCAGTAACTGCAGGGGTGGGAGAGGGTAGAGATAAGGAAATGTTCTTAAACATCCTTTCGAGGGCTAAGGAAATCTAAACAAGTTTGAATTTTGCAGTGGTCTATTGCAACATGAACTTCAGATTTTTTTTTTAAACTATATAATAAAATGATGCTCAAAGTTTATCTGACCTTTGTCCTTTGACCTTGGAAGAAATCACTGTAGCATTTAAGCAAGGAAACCAGCACCGTGTTCTCATCATACTTGATTAAGAAGTAAGGAAGAGCTGTGACTCCTTCTGTTTGACAAAGATTATCATATGCACACTCAAGTGCTTGAATCTGAAAACAGAAAACACACAGTTATTCTCTAGAAAATTACATAACTAGTTCTGGGCTCAAAACTCACTCAAAATAAAAGGTACCTTAAAACCAGAAGACTGGAAATGACTGATGACACTCCTGTTACTCTATTACAGCAAATGAACATAGAAGTGCCTCCAAGTAATAATACCACTTAGCTTTTATATAACACTTCCAGGGGCATGGTGGTGTGTGTCTTAGGAGCACAAAGGGACATATTATGGTACAACATGGTGGTTCCCTAAGTTGTCAATCAGAGGTTTAGAGCGGTAAGCAAACATTCTTTCTTTCCTATGATAACCCAAAATGAATCTACCTCTGTTGAATTTTACCCTGAACCTTTCCATAATCTTCAACAGATTTACTGAGACATGACTAATATACCATACAGTTCACCCATTTACTACTTTTTGAGACAGGGTCTTGCTCTGTCGCCCAGGCAATCACAGCTCCCTACAGCCTTGACCTCCTGGGCTCAATCAATTCTCCTGCCTCAGCCTCCTGAGTAGCTGGGACTATAGGCACACACCACCATGCCCAGGTAACTCTTTTGAATTTTTTTATAGAGACAAGGTTTCACCATGTTGCCCAGGCTGGTCTTGAAATTCCGAGCTCAAGTGATCTGCTCACCTCTGCCATCCAAGTACTGGAATTACATTACAGGTGTGGGCCACTGCACCTGGCCCAATTCACCCATTTAAGGTACATAATGCAATATGTTGTTTGGGTTTTTTTAGTATGTTCACAGGGTTGTACAACCATCACAGCAATAATAAATACAGAGCCTTTTTTTTTGAGATGGAGTCTCACTTTGTTGTCAGGCTGGAGTGCAGTGGTGCGATCTCCATTCACTGCAAACCTCCGCCTCCCAGGTTCAAGCAATTCTCCTGCCTCAGCCTCCTGAGTAGCTGGGACTACAGGTGTGCACCACCATGCACAGCTAATTTTTGTATTTTTCGTAGAGTTACGCTTTCACCATATTGGCCAGGATTGTCTCTATCTCTTGACCTCATGATCTGCCAGCCTTGGCTTCCCAAAGTGCTGGGATTACAGGTGGGAGTCACTGCACCCAGCCAATATAGACCATTTTTGTCCTCAACAAAAGAAACTCGATACCTGCTAGCAGTTAATTCTCATCCAAAATCCTTTCTCCCCACTTATATTTCTTCATGGGAAATTAGTTCCACAAAACCACAATCTTGGATTTGTACAAAATAAAAAAAAATTTTTAATCAATAATGGCTGCTCCCTGAACAGCTCTATGGAAGCTCCCTGAGTGATGTTCAGTATTCAGGGCTTCAGTGATTGATGTGTTTCATGAATTCAAATCATCTTGACATATAATCTCTGCCTTAAAACAATAAGAATTCTCTAGTTTAGGTTCTCTATTCTACCAGCCTGATTATTTTAACTGCTCTTCTGGGGACCATCTGTAATGACCTTATTATCTATCCCAAATGTCACTGACTAACTCTGTATGTACCACGCCAGGTAGAAAAGTTCTGCAACTTGGCACCAGAATAGGAGAATGCCTTTTGTTTTGTTTCAAAGACTCTTTCCCAAAGTGTACTGCCTTATGTTTCCCCACTTGAAATTGAAGACCACGTTTTAGTAAATTATTTCGGTGTTTCAAAATGTTCCTAAAATTCCCCCTTACTGGCTTAGCATTTCACCAAATACCACTGAAAACCTGGAAAATTACATCTTCAAAATAACTTTACAGACCAGGCAGGTTGGCTCATGCCTGTAGTCCCAGAACTTTGAGAGGATAAGGCAGGCAGATCGCTTGAGCCCAGGAGTTGAAGACCAGCCTGGCCAACATGGAAAAACTCCATCTCTATTAAATGACAAACATTAGCCAGGTGTGGTGGCACGACTGTAGTCCCACGTGCTCAGGAGGCTAAGATGAGACGATCACCTGAGCCTAAAAAGTTGAAGCTACAGTGAGCTGTGATTGTGCCACTGCACTCCAGCCTGGGCAATAGGAGTGAGACCCAGTCTCAAAATATGTATATATACACAAAAAATGACTTTACAAAAATTATCTAAATAAGTCTGCTCCTAGTATCACCTTTGGAGGATTCCAGTTACCATCTCTTCAACCTGAGAAGGAACTGTTTGTCTTTGGCAGGAACTAGATAACTACTCTTGTACATTCAACCCAATTTTATGTGTATTTTAGTTTATTTGTTGATACCTGTTTTAGCGAAAACCTTTGATCCAAACCCACTGGCCCCTGAATGAGAGGTAAACTCTCTGGAAGACAGAGGGCAGGATAGCAAAACCAATAGTAGAAGTGGTACTTCTTTAGATCCTAGAATAAAAAATATAAATACGTTATTACAATAGCACCATTAAGTTAAGCTGAAATGCATCTATTAATGTAGCTTCTCAAGGCCAATTAAGATAGCAAAGCTGATCCAAATAAAATATGTCCAGCTTGTCAAATATCCTCATCCCCAACAGAACTCATGATAGAATACAGGACTTTTGTATTCCCAAAACAGTCTCACATACCACCACTAATAATATGAGGACAAACATAATATACTTTATTGGCTACCTGCTAACAGAAAATGCATGCAATAACTAATTGATATTATCATCATCATCCTTTAATCTACAAAACTACCCTGGGAGGTAATTATTATTATCCCATTTTATAAACAGAAAGCTGAATTTTACAAAGGGGTTAAGAACCTGAACAACAACAAAAAAGATGGTAAGTGGTAAGGGGAAGAGAAGAGATCAGAACTCTGCTTCCAAAACTTAAGCTTTTTTCCACTGACCAAACATACTCAATGTACCATCTACAGAAGCACAACCACAGTTACCATTCTCTTCACAATCAAATAAATTACATGTTATTAAGGAAGCTGTGCTATTCACTATGCATGCCTGAAATAATATAATACTGCTTTTGGAAATGCCTTAGTGGATTTAAGTCAACAACTATCAAGCCCTTGCTACGTATGACGCAAAACATAAGACACTAACAATAAGAAGAATAAATCCTAGGCCCAGACATCAGGCATCTCACTTTCTGGATGGAGCAGAGATAAAGTGAGCGCATGGTTACAGCCATGGAGAGGCTCTAAGTAGGAAGGTGCATGGGTGAATAGGAGAGGTTACATCTTCATGAGTGTATCTGACCGATCCCCCCACCAGGGGAGGTGACCCAGGGGAAAGAATTTGTGAGGCTGTCCTTGACACTGTTCCGACTCAGGTTAATGGCTCTTGCTTCAAAATTCCCACAGCTTTTGGGCCCTTAATCATTGATGGTAGCATTCCAGACATATGCTGGTATTTGGCAGCTGGCCTAAAAGCCTGTGACCACTGAATATAAATTCAGTTTATGTAGTTCATTAATATTTCCTTTTGAATCTTGCTAAGAATTAAAATTGGATGGTTGTTAGATGACTTTTTATTGAGATTTAATTCACAGCCCATAAAATTCACCATTTTAAAGTATACAATTTAGTAGTTTCTTTTTAGTCTAGTGATATGGTTGTACCATCATCACCATTAATTCCAGAATATTTTCATCACCCCAAAAAGAAATCTCATACCTATTAGCAGAGACTCCTCATTCCCCCTCCTCTCATCACTTGGCAACAACTAATCTATTTTCTGTCTCTATGGATTTGCCTATTATTCTGGACTTTTCATATAAATGGAATCATACCAGGTGACTTTTAAAATGTAAATGTATATATAAACATGTGTCCAGATGAGAAAGTCTAGTAATTGTAGTTTCTGTGGTCTCTAGTTTTGCTATACATTGATCATCTAAGAACAAATTCCCTCTTCACAATGGCAAAATGAACTGCGAAACTGAAATTAACGAACTGTCTAGTCCTTTGGGTCCTAAAAATAGGAGAAGGAAAGCAAAAACACCTCTAGAGATTATTTTCTCTTCCTTGTACTTAAATGATTTGTCATAACTGATCTTTAGTAAAAGGTTAAACAATTCAAGATGAAGCATCTCATAAATTCTTTTTTTTTTTTTTTTTTTTTTGAAACAGAGTCTTGCTCTGTCGCCCAGGCTGGAGTGCAGTGGTATGATCTCGGCTTACTGCAACCTTCGCCTCCTGAATTCAAGCAATTCTCCTGCCTCAATCTCCCAAGTAGCTGGGACTAAAGGTGCATGCTGTCATGCCCAACTAATTTTTTTTTTTTTGTATTTTAGTAGTAATGGGGTTTCACTTTGTTGGCCAGACTGGTCTTGAACTCCTGAGCTCAGGCAATCCACCTGTGTTGGCCTCCCAAAGTACTAGGATTACAGGCATGAGCCACCAAACCTAGCTGGACCTCACAAATTCTAAGAAGCTTTATCAGGTCGTCTTCAAAGGCCAAAAGGCTTGCATTTCTTTTATTTATTTATTTATTTTGAGACGGAGTCTTGCTGTGTCACCAGGCTGGAATGCAGTGGTGTAATCTCGGCTCACTGCAATGCCCGCCTCCTGTGTTCAAGAGATTCTCCTGCCTCAGCCTCCCGACTAGCTGGAATTACAGACATGTGCCACCACACCCAGCTAATTTTTGTATTTAGTAGAGACAGGTTTCACCACATTGGCCAGAATGGTCTCGATTTCTTGACCTCATGATCCACCCGCCTTGGTCTCCCAAAGTGCTGGGATTACAGGTGTAAGCCACGGCGCCCAGTCAAGGCTTGCATTTCTTAGGATTCTTTTCAGGATACAAAGGACCTCCATTAAATTAAACATAAAATCCTTAGTGTCTGAAGATTTTAAAAGACAGAGACTTATTTTTTTTTTTAAGCCAGGCTAACAATGCTCAGTAAACAAGGCAACAAGACCAACACACATACTGACTCTAGGCAAACCTTAAAACTTTAAGTAAGGGCTAATGTTATTTTTCTCATTAAATGCTAACTGGCAGTATGTTCTACTAATGAGAATTCTTGGTACAGAAAGTGTACTGATACTCAATAACTAGAAATCTTTAACTAGCAATACTTACAATTTATTCTAGTAAAGAACCTATAGAATTACCGAAATGTATAGACAAATTATTAATGCCAAAGTGAGCCAAGTAATCTGACAAAGAATTTTTTAAACATTTTCCTGTCACTTCCACTATTACATAGAAAGCATCATAACTTGTTAGAAAATGTGTTCCTTGTAGATAGCCACCCACTGGTCTTGTCTGATTCCTATCATACCCTCCTTTGCCTTGGGCAATAAATCAGAGCCCTCCTCTGCATCTAGGAGGAACTGTGGGAGGTTGGGAAAGAATTTGGTGGGAAAAAAAAAAAAAGTGGGAAAGAGGATTAATATCCAAAGCTGATGATGCTGTGGTAAAACAATGCACTTAATACACAGCAACATTACTGTGTTTATATGCCTGCTCCAATGAACTTATTCTAAAGAAGTAAAATGAGCAGGAAAAAATATCAATATGGTTAATACTGTATATTTTTCAATATACTACAGTTTTTTTGGTTTTTTTTTTTGAGACGGGGTCTCACTCTGCTGTCCAGGCTGGAATGCAGCAGTGCAATCACAGCTTGCTGCAGCCTCAATCTCCCAGGCTCAGATGATCTTCCCATCTCAGCTCCCCAGTAGCTGGAACCACAGGAAGGTGCCACTACACCCGGCTACTTTTTGTATTTTTTGTAGTGACAAGGTGTCACCATGTTTGTTGCTTAGGCTGGTCTCAAACTCTTGGCCTCAAGTGATCTACTTGCCTCAGCCTCCCAAAGTGCTGGGATTACAGGCATAAGCTAATGTGCCCAGACTAGCATTTTTTATAACAGAATATTAGAAATCACCTATATACAACAGGAATCTATAGAACATACATTTGACAGAATGTTATATTGTCACTATAATAATAAAGGATATAATTAGTTTTATATACACAGATATATATGTGTGTGTGTGTGTGCATATATATATATATACACCTGTGTGTACACTGTGTGTGTGCATGAGTGTGTGTCTGTACAGCTGGTATCTGTGTGTGTGCATGCACACATGCACACACACACTGGTATCACTATAACCAACCTTTACCTTTTCCCTACTTTCCCCTCACCGAGGCCAGGTCCTTCCGTCTACATCCTACCCCTTCTTCACCGGGCAGCACATGTTACTCTAATACGATTTCCTTTTCAAGGCTGCCTTTAATGTTCATTTAATTAGATTTTGCTTATAGAAAACATTTTTTGTCTTTAAAAACAAAAACAAAAAAAACAAGGAATTGTGTGGTCAAGCTATACAGTGTGATTTCCTCTAATCCAGAAGCCCCTTTCCTTTATTCGGATGGACCTCTGTAGGACAGTATTTAACAAAAGCATTACCAACAATGAAACCACATTTCCTGAACCTGACTTTATCATGCCCTGAATAAGAGGTGGGTCACTGTGTTACATAAACTATGCAGTTACTGCCAATATGATCTATAGGGATGAATTATGTTAGCACTGGTAATAGGTGTCAGCACTATCTGGCCTCTAATCAAATGAGCATTAACAGCTATAATTTAAATAACAGAAGGTAGCAGCTTCAAAGAGGAGAGCAGACTGTTCTACTGGTACACTGGGCTGAGCCAGGGAATCTCACCAGCCTCTGTGCAACCGAGAGCCCATTTACTTACTGCAAATGTCAAGAGGAGGAACTTGTTGAGGAGTACAGGGTTTTCAAGAGCAGCGCCTGATTTTATGGATTCCCATATCTGCCAGAAGAAGAAAAGCGTCAAGGCAGGTTACCAGGCATCTCTGAGCTTCTCACTCTCAGGCGAAGTGTGGAGCTGAAAAGCAGGCTCTTCTTAGCTACAGGCACAGCACTACTTACCCCAAACAATGAAGTGGGTCGTTACCTAACTCTGCTCACTTCACACTGCCTCTCTCCCAGCCACACTCCCTTCAGCAACTAAGCCAAGTGAGGGAACCCAGGTGCCTCCTCTCAGCAGATTTCGGCAGCAGAGACGAGGCAATCAGGCCATTTTCATGCCTCTACAGTCTCCTTCAGCAAGTATTTATTTATTGTCTACTATATACGGGCACATCAGGGTTACAGCAATAAAAGACAGTCAGTCCCTACCCTCAAGACACTCACAATCTAGAGAGAGAGTCCGGCATCAATGTGTAACTTCAGCGCCATGTAGGATTTGCTGTCAAAGAAGTAGGTAGAATTTATGGGAGGAATTCTCCGCAGACTCAGCTGGGGAAGTGGGAGGGTAAAGAGCCTGGAGGGGGCTCTCAAAGGAAGTGCTGTGAAATATATACAGGGGTTTCTTAAAGCCTTGAAATTATCTTGTCCTGAGAGATGAAGAAAGAAGAACAAACTTCAAGTTCATGTATACTCAGCAAGTACTGAGACTAGGAGCAAATGCTGGTGCTGGTCAGCAGCTGCGGATCACAAGATGTTTTTGTAGCTAAGATTTGTAGCTAAACTTGGTGTTACTAAGCAAGACAAAACAGTTGCACTAAGTATGGGTGGAAGAGGGAAGCAAGCAAGCAGAAGTAAGTTCCTGCTACTGACATACTGGCCTTGGAGGAGCTGGATCACTGAAGAGAGGCCCCCAATTTCTGGTAAGCCAAAGGAGTGTGGGGCAGGATGTGCCAGGAGAACTCTGGGCCCCAGTTGAGGGGTGGGATATTTCTGTGGGGAGGAACCTGCTTTCTTCCAAGACGATGAAGGCCTGACCCAACTCTTTGGAGACTCCCTTTCAAATGTGCACCCAAGGCCGGAGTCCCAGGGGCAGTCAAGCCACAGGGCAAGAAAAACCACCATCCTCACCATCTATCCCAAGGGATGTGAGGGAACCTGACCACTGCACCCACACCAACAAGACTCGTGGCATAATAAAGACTGGTGTAAAGACTCATCAATTAAAGGAGCGAGACAGGATTGAAATAAACTGCCCCCACCTCCCATTTTAATTCCTCTCACTAACTCCAATGTAAAGAAGCAAAGGAAAGACATTCCAGGAAGAGAGGACAGAACAGAAAGTAGGTGGAGGGAATTACATGTGATTTGCTGTGACAGAGTCGGAGAATGCAAGGGCAAGACTTACAGGTCAGAAGGGCCAAAGAGGTAAACAGGGTCAGACCACAGAGGCCTTGAAAATCAGATGCAGTATATTAGATAAGCAAAGACACTGGAGAGACCACATGATAATCTCCTATGCCACCATGTGCACAGGATTGCCAAGCCTCTTCCAAGGTACAAGGAACAGAGTGCCCAGAGGCATTTAGCCACAGAAATGCAACTCTCAGAGGTCTGGTGGCTTCAAAATGCTGGCTGGAGAGGAACAGCAAACTGATTACCTAACCTCTGCCCTGCCTTGTTATTTCCAGTCTATCCCAGGTGAGAGCTTGGATGTCCTCTCCCTGACCTTCCTGCCAACACAGGAGACAGCTGGGAGTATTTTCTCTGGGAAGATATACCAAAGCCCACAAGTGTCTTTAAGTTCCTATCATATGCCAGTTTCTGCGGCAGAACCATGTGCCTGATCACAAACACTGTACCTGCCAGGACCACAGGAAATATGACACATACATCACATTTTCCCAGCTAACCTCATTTGCTGCTTGTTCCAAAAGGAGCTTCTTATCTGCAGTCTTGAAAGACTCGAGTGTGTTGGTGTTATACAGTGTTCCAACAGCTGGGCAGCAACGGGCTGGGGTGGGAGCACTCCTAGATACAAGAGAAACACGGTTAGCCAGGCACAGTTGGGACATAGAGAGCCAGAGAAAGACAAGTCAACCACCATGGTAGTGGGAGAAAAGGGGTATTGCTCTGTAGGGCAAACAGAAGATTAACTGTATGTTTTCTTGGAAAAAGATGAACATCATCAATCAAGGACTTAAAAACAGGCACCATTCCCCTCCAAAAGCCTGTATACTCCCTGTACTCTAACCTGTCAGGATGCTGTTCTTCCACCATTCCCCAAAGAGAAGTTCATTTCCTATTTTTTCTTCTTTAACATCTTTAACCAGAGGGAAATATTTGTTGAGCCAGGAACTGTGCACAGTTTGAATTCTCATAACAGCTCTTTCCCCCCGTTTAAAGGTTTAAGCAACTAGCCTAAGGTCACATAATAATAGCCACAGCTTGAATCTAAAACAAGAACTAGCTGAGTCCAACGGTACTGTGCTGTGCCCTCCCCACCTCTCAGACCCTCCCAGGCTTCAAGGACCTGCTCTAATGTCTCCTCTTACAAAAAGCTATCTCCATTTTCTCTGCTAAGAGTTGGCACATAAAACTCGGCATAATATTTTCGAGCATTTTCAAGAACTACAGTCATACCCACCCAGCTGTAGGACAGTAAGCTCCATGAGGACAGGAAGTATGTGTTCTCATGACTGTCCTACAACCTAGCCCACCCCAAACGGGGCTCTGCACAGACCTGTTGTTGAGCAAGGCCCTGATGGTTGAGTCTCACAGACAAAATCTTTCACACCTGGGCTACCTGTCAATCTGTCATGCTGCCAGGTTCACATACTCTACATTGCCTCCAAAGGCCTCACAGTCACTAGAGTAAGCAAAGTCAGGAAAAGAGTAGTTGATTCTGAATACGAATTCAGATGTGGACAAATCTGGTTTCTCCTCTGAAATGATTAACTTACATTTCAGAGGTTACAGATGTTACATGAAAATATTCATTTCTTTAGTAGCCTACTACTGCTATCACAACTAATGCAGAGAGAATGCCTTTTTACTGATTGCACTGATGATAGCTATACGGTTTAGAAGAACCTGTGTCTTTTCATTTAGAATCCATGTAAAAGTGGGTTTATGGGGCTGAAGGAGTAGAAGTCTAAACCTAGAACAGGTATGAAGGGGTGCAATGAATGACATGATTCTGTCAAATGCTGTCTATCAATGGCCAGAGCCTTCCCTTGAGAGCTATGAGTCAGAAAATCACAGGTGGTTTGTCACGATGCTCCTTCAATAAAAGAATATTTTTCATCCAGGTGACATGGGGACATCCAAAGGGAAAAGATTAAGCCCAGAGGAAAGGCAAAGAAAGCAGAGCAGTTGGTAAACTAAGCCTCTACATTGACTTGGCTTTATGAAACTGCTGCTGAAACAGGATGTGGAAACAGAAGGAAGGATGCTATGATCTAATTTGGACACAAGCACAGAGGAGGAAAGTGCCCTTCTTCCCAAACTTCCCAGGTGTGTGAGAGCCATACCAAAGCCTCACTCTGTGAAAAGAGAAAACTGCATACCAAGAGCTCAAGCAACTGCAAGACAGCTAGGCTTGTAGGAGCATCAGCACTTATGCAAGTTAATTAGCCAGGACAATCCGAAGCTTCAAAGGAGAAGCATTTTTCATGACTAAAGTTTCATCATGGGAGGTGACAGGAAAATGAATTTAAAAAGATAATGAGAGGGAAGGAGCCTGAGACTTAGAGACAAGAGAATTTAGTTCAAATCTTGGTTCTGACACTTACTAGTTTAGTTTCCTATGGTTCCATTTATATGAAATGTGCAGAATAGGCAAATCCTCAGAGACAGAAAGTAGAGTTACGGTTGGCTAGGACTGGCGAGTATGGAGGAGGGGGAATGGGGAGTTACTGCCAAGGGTGTCTTTTTTGGGAGATGGAAATGTTCTGGAATTAGTAGTGATGGTTGCAAGACTCTGTGAATCTACTAAAAACCAATGAATTCTACAGTTTAAGGGGGTGAACTTTATGGTATGTGAATTATATCTCAACATAGCTGCTAAAAGGATCTGAATTAGAAATTTTTCTCCACATACTAAGGCCAACAGTGAACTCACAATAATATACATACTAACCTGTAAAAAATAGATCTCACAAAAGCCAGAAGACTGGACCTGCTTTGAGGATATTACAGCTAAGATGCCTGGCCTTCACTCAGTCTCACAGTGATGACTCAGGAAAGTGCTGGGGCTGTGTTGCACCAGTTACACTTGGCCAATAGGCAGGCAGGTGGTCAGAATGGAATAAATCCTCTGGAAGAGCACAAGTGCTCTTTATACCTGGAGGAATCTACTTCACACATAGCTTCACAAGCCTACAGGGAATGTTGGGAACCCAGAAAGTCACACTCAGTTGGGGGTCATGCTTCTTTATCCTCTCCAGATTTCCCTAGCAATCACAGAGTTTCCTTTTGTAACAAACATTATCTAACATGGTCCACTGGCATCTTTCCATCAACCACACTGCATGCCATTTTGACAGCCACGCACTTAGACCGCTTGTAATTCAATTAGACGGTTACTTGAGCAAATTGTACACCCCAGATCTGTGTTGAGTGTTGGTAATGTAGCAGAGAATAAGATACACACAGCCTCTACCCTGTATTTATGAGTTGGTGCATATGACTCCTACTTCCTTCACTACCTTTTCAGTTCCTTGAGGGCAAGGATTATGCCTTCAATTTCTCTAATTAGGTCCAACTTGAGGCTTACAAAAGAAAAATATTTCTTATGAATAAAGACAAATATTCTTCAAGGGAAAGAAACCCACAGAAATGTTCTTCATTCAAATGTTGATCATTCGAGGCCCAGAGAAAGGAAAATTATTTTATTTATCAGCTTCACACTGGTATAGAGATTGTCAATCGAAATCTATTTTCCTCCTTGTCAGCAGAAATAGAAAACATACATGATGTTTTTAGCTGGGTTCCATACTTCCCAGTCTTCTTTGCAAGACAGGTGAGGCCATGAACTCTCCTCAGTAGAATCTGAGTGTCCCTTCCCGCTAGGGCATTTAACAGACTGTGTATCTCTTCCATCTATTTGCACCTTGGCTCTCTTTCCACATTAATCAGTTGTTACCTGAAAGTGACAACTGTCTTAATCAGCATGAAAATGCAAAGTCCTCAGGGATGATGGAGCCACAACATGGAAGAAGACTGAACCAGCAGCCCTGGGCTATTCGATGAGCAGGAAATAAACTTCCTTTGTGTTTGGGCCCTTACATTTTTGGGTCTGATTCAGCAGGACACCCTACCTCAAGACACATCCTCCAGTTTAAGACAGTTGGTGCCTGATAAAATACAACTTGACTGACAATTCATCTAATACAATTGAGAGAACAGGATCCTTGTGCTGCTGCCTGCAGAGATCCATAAGCCTCCCAGGGACTCGAAGTAAAAGGGACTTACCCAGTGCTATGCAAAGCTGAGATACTCTTGACATCTACAAGTGAGTACTAGGGTTGTTAGCTCTTCAACTGTATCTTATTCCTGTCTCTATGCCCAGCACCTAGCACATTCTATTATCAAGGCACAGAGGAAGCAATCAATAAGTTTTCCTGAGATAATGATTACCTCTCCACGCTTATTATAGCACAGAGCACACTATAATGCAAATATTTGCCTTCTACTTCTCTCTCTCATACAGTAGAGGAACTCTGGAGAACCTATTTCACAAGTCTTTGTATTCCTAATACATACACATTTGCACATTGTAGATATTTCTTCTTTGATAAATAAATTCACAAAGAATTTCTCTAGTAACCCATGCAGATATACAGCAATCAAAACAAAGATGGGGTAATAATAAAGGAAATAATTTTAAATAAAGAAATCATGTCTTCTGAGAAGTCCCAAGCACTTTCATTAAATTTCCCAGCCATCTTCATAGGGACTCAGAAAGTAACAGACTTTTAAAACTGGAAGGAACATTAGAAAGCAAGAACCCATTTTAAAGATGAGGAAACAAAAGTTGAGAAAACTTTTGAGTTTATTGAAGGACAGTTAATTAGCAACAGATTCTAAGTCTTCAAACTTCAAATCTAGGGCTATTTTCAGAACACTGGAGACCACGTCTTAGTCCTGCTCACCTCCCACCGTCTACCACAGTGCCTCGCATACTGAGGGTATTCAATGGTTAAAGAAAAAATATGGCGAGTGAAAATGAGCAATTTGTGTGAAAGTCATAGCTGCAGGATCACAGATTTTCTTATCTCCTTCAACCTAAATTTTTAGATTACTGAAGTTTAAGATGCTCACATTTTGTAATAAGTTCAAACCTAACTTCTGTGAACTGCCTGTTTCTAATTATTCTAAAGAATAAAATTATTAAAGCCTTAAAAAACAAACAAAACTTCAGTACAGTAGAAGAATAAGGACAGGAGTGAGGTTAGTCTGAGACGAACACGAGGCTCTCCAGATTACACGAAACAGACTGTTGATGCTCCCCACGTACCATCTTCACACAATTTAATACTTATACATTTCCAGTATTTTCCTTGCTATATCTTAATGGCTCCAAAATAAGTTAGTTTGCCAAAACAAGAGAGAGATTATTAGAATTCAATTTCTTTTGATGGGTAACCACAAGGAATTTACGATGGAGCAAGAAAGCTCCGAAGGGAACAAGAAACACCAATACATACATTTTCAAAGATACGAATACTAACATCATTGTGGATGTATGTCATGCTTTCAAATTTTGCAACTGGATTGAGATAAAAGAAAAAACGTACTGATTTTCTGAGATTAAAAAAAAAAATTCTAGGGACATTTTATTTTAAATACCCTAATATTTGACTATTGCCACTTTCAAAAGCCAGAAAGATCTTAAAGACTCCATCTTCCTAAAATTCTCCATCTTGATGCTGCTGAGGTACAATAAGCAGAAAAACAATGTAGCCTTTTTCAATTCTCAATAATCTTAACGGCCCTCAACATGGTTTCAGCTCCAACCTCTTTCTCAAACTAATTCTTAAGGACCACTAAGACTTAATCAGCAAACACAACGGCCCTCGAATTGACCTCTGTGCTTCTGACACTGCCATCTTCTCTTTCTTTCCTGAAAGCATTTCCTTCTTTGGTTTCTGTAACACTTTTCTGGTTTTCCTCTGACAACCCCTGTGTCCTTTGCTAGTTCTCTATGTCTTTCACCTCCCTAATCAGAGGCATTCACTGTTTGCACCTTTTGTTCTTTTTTTTTTTTTTTTTGATACAGAGTAATGCTCAGTCGCCTAGGCTGGAGTACAGTGGCACGATCTCTGCTCACTGCAACCTCCGCCTCCCAGGCTCAAGCCATTCTCCTGCCTCAACCTCCCGAATAGCTGGGATTACAGGTGCCTGCCACCACGCCTGGCTAATTTTTGTATTTTTAGTAGAGACGGGGTTTCACTATGCTGGCCAGTCTGGTCTTCAACTCCTGACCTCAAGTGATCCACCCGCCCCAGCCTCCCAAAGCGCTGGGATTATAGGCATGAGCCACCTTTTGTTCTTACACTATACAGCTGCTCCTTGACTTACCATGTTCTGATAAACTCATCATAAATTGGAAAAATATAATAAACCAAAACTCTATTTATAAATACACCTAGCCTGCCAGATATCACAGCTTAGTCTAGCCTCCCTTAAATGCGCTCAGAACACTTACATTAGCCTACAGTCGGGCAAAATCATCTAACACAAAGCCTGTTTCATAATAAAGTGTTGAATATCTCGTGTAATTTACTGAATACTGTACTGAAAGTGAAAAACAGAATGGCTGTATGGGTCCACAGAGTATAATTTCCACTGAATGTGTATTGCTTTCTCACCATCATAAAGTCACAAAGTCATTAAACCACCATAAATTGGAGACTATCTGTATTCTCTTTCTCCTCTACCTGAATGTCTCCCAAATCTAGTCTGATCCTCTCTCCCTGACTCCGGTTCCTCCTAGACATTTCTAGTAGACATTGTCATCCAAACTCAACATATTCTAAGCCAAACTTGTCTCCTCCTAAATTTGTATCCCCCTCCTGGTTTCTCTGTTTCTACAGAAGATAGCAAAATCCCTGTAGCTACTCAGATGAATTTCAGAAATATATTTATAAATACACTTTTTTCTCTCACCCCTGCCTTCTAAATCTGGCTATGTATCACCCTGGGCAAGCCACTTTTACCTTTCATTCTGTGGTTTCCTCATCTGAACAAGAGAGAAAAATCACACCTGGCAAGTCTGAAGGAACAGATGTTTATGAAAATGCCCAGCTAATTAAGTGCTCAATAAATGTGTCTCTTGGCTGGGTGTGGTGACTCAATCCTATAATCCTAGCACTTTGGGAGGCCAAGGCAGGCGAATCACTTGAGGTCAGGATTTCAAGACCAGCCTGGTCAATATGGTGAAACACTGTCTCTACCAAAAAATACAAAACTTAGCCAGGTATGATGATGCATGCTTGTAATCCTAGCTACTTGGGAGGCTCAGGCACAAGAATCGCTTGAACTCAGGAAGCGGAGGTTACAGTGAGCTGAGATTATGCCACTGCATTCCAGCCTGGACGACAGAATAAGACTCTGTCAAAAAAAATGTACGTGATTCCTCTCTCCAGCAACTCCCCACAGCTCCCAAGCAGATTAAAAAAAAAATTCTTTGAGGATGTATCTATCATATTCCTTTGTATACCACCATAATGCCTTGCACAGTGGCTTGTATACAGAAGTTGCCTAATAAACATTCATTGATCAATGCCCATGAACAAGCAACTAAAGGAGTAAATTGAGAGGTGTCAATAAAAGATCACAAAATATTAACTACAATCAAAACCAAGAGGGATATCGTCTATGTCTCATTCTAGATGGCACCTGGTACCTAATAGACTCTGATAAATACATGGTGAAAAATTAACCAGACAGACCTAAGCATCTAGCACTCATCTCTATGGGAGGTATGAGAATCGTGAGGGGCTGACTCTGCTCACCGGGTGCTTCCCTAGTTCCTCCTGTGGTCCACCTATGAGGGAGGTAAGCATGCTCATTCCTTGCCAAAAGCAGTGTTCTTTACTTCAGATTTTGAACAAATAAATACTCACATGTCAAAAGCACTGAACTCCAATGTTAAGCGAGCTGGCAGCCCAGCAGAGTCACCTGGACAGAAGCATTATCACATTTTCAATGACAAGTCAGAAATAGCAGCATTCATAACAAAAATGCTTATGAATAGTTTTGTTCTCTTTGTTGAGCCCAAGGCGCCCCATCCAATTTATGATGATCTATGATACATAGATAATATATGTATGGATAGATAATGGCAGAATGTGAAAGAGCTCTTGTGAATATGAGACATTTGCCAAGAATATAAAAAAGATTCAATGGAAAAAAAAATTTCCAATCTCTTCCCCCAGCAATGCTAAGTAATGGGTATTATTTGAATTAATAATTTTGAGTTTCTCTATTCTCTTTCTTTTTCCTCACAACAAGAGAAAAGAAATTAAAATGAACGGGGATCAAACAGTCAGGAAGTAAAATAGAAACTGGTGAAGAGCACTGATTATAAAAGACATGGCTGTCCCTTTCTACAGGAAAACTGACACTATACTGGAGGACAGAGAGGATAACAGAAGATGATAGAAAATGAAATTTACTATTACCTACCATTGTAGTAATAACCCTTAATGTCCTTGGGAGCTTCATCCAGCCGATACTCATTCAGCTTCTTCTGGGTCAACTCATGCCAGAACCCAACATCCAAGGCACTGCTAAAGGGGGCAAACTGCAGTTTAGAGAGTCCAGGATCCCCCGTAGTTGCTGCCATTATTTCTTGCCTACTAAAAAACAAAACGGAACACAGTAAAATAACATATCCATGCAAAAGCTCATGAGAAAGAACATTTGTAATAAAGCTTAATTCAAACAAACAAAAAGTAATGAGATGTCTATGGGATATCTTAAGACACAACTTCTTTTTGGATTGTGGTAAGAAACACGTAACATATACTTTACCATCTAGATTATTTTGAAGTATACAGTTAGGTGGTATTAAGTATAATCACAATGTTGTAAAACAGATCTCTTTGCAAGAACTTTTTCATCTTGCAAAACTGGAACTCTTTACTCTTTAAACAATAACTCCCCATTTCCTTTCCCCCAGGACCTTGCACCCACCATTCTACTTTCTGTCTATATGGGTTTGACTACTATATTTAAATGGAATCATGCAGTATTTGTGTTTTTGTGACTGGCTTATTTCACTCGAGACACAACTTTGGAACAGAGGGAGGGGAATGTCACACACTGGGGCCTGTCAGAGGCTAGTGGGATAGGGGAGGGATAGTAGGGGGTAAGGGGATAGAAGAGGGATAGCATTAGGAGAAATACCTGGTGTACATGACGGGGTGATGGATGCAGCAAACCACTATGGCATGTGTACACCTATGTAACAAACCTGCATGTTCTGCACATGTACCCCAGAACTTAAAAGAATAATAATTTAAAAAAAGAAAAAAAAAAGACACAACTTTGAAAACTATCCTAATTGGCCTATGTTGCCAAGCTGATTCTCCTCATGACAGTGATTTTTCCAAACAACACTTTCTGGCCTTAACGTTTATGCTTCTTCCTTCCCTATTTGAGTCAGTCTCAAATAAGGACTAATGATGTACTACTGCTATTCCTTCTTCGACACAGTCACTATCTCAGAAGCTTTTGTCATCTTGTGTGGTCCTGGAGAATTCTGCAAGTACAAAATCCTAAATCTGGCCACTCAGAAATGCAACAATCCAAACTGCCAGAATTCTACCCGTATGAGAGTAATGCTTTAGCACCTCTAGATGACGCAGATAATGAAGGATGTGTTTCTCCCCACCTCCTACAGTGCCTACATTTCTTTGAAATCTCATGTTTTATCTTTTCAATGCATGGAAATTTTGCATTTTATGCCATGATACATATCTCATTATTTCATTATCCCCCTCAAATTATCAAATAAATTTGACCTTCCTGGCAATCACACACATGTATGCTGTTAACTTTCTATAATCCCTCCATACTCTCAGGGGTAACACACCCCAGTTTGAGAAGCATAATACTAAAGAAATCTGGCAGCTCCAAAAAGCAAATTTATGAGGTCCCTTCACTTTCCATTCTGTCCAATTACCCCACAACCAGCCATATGAGTATTTCTGCAGCAGAACCTACGAATAATCACAGTAAATGGGATACATTTTTTTTTTTTTTTTTAAGACACGGTCATGCTCTGCTGCCCAGGCTGCAGTACATTGGCACAATCTCAGCTCACTGCAACCTTAGTCTTCCAAGCTCAAGCAATCTTCCCACCTCAGCCTCCCGAGTGGCTGAGACTACAGGCATGCACCACCATGCCTGGCTAATTTTTCTGTATTTTCGGTACAGACCAGGTCTTGCCATGTTGCCCAGGCTGGTCTTGAGCTCCTGGACTCATGATCCTCGTGCCTTGGCCTTGCTGGGATTACAGGCATGAGCCACTGCACCTGGCCAAATGGGATACATTTTTAAAATATAGCTCATGTCTACTCAAGGAGGTTTTGCTTGAGTTCTGCACCAAGACTATTAAAAAGCTTTCAGTTTTCCAAACTCGTTGGATTTAGAATTAGAGATAAGGAGTTTTGGATTGAAAGAAACTGTTATGAAATACAAAGTTAGTGATCTACATAAAAGGTATTCAAATCAAGAAGGGGATGAATGTGAAACAGAGCCCTAGGAAAGGCTCCATGAAGAAGGTAAGCACTGAGTGATATTGGAAAGGATAGGTAAGGGGTGGGGGAATATGGGTAGAGGGCAGAAGGAACAAAAAGAGCAGAGGAACAGTCGTGGCAGAAATGGGGACATGTGAGACCAGCTGTCCTCAGGTGGAAGGTTTGTGCCGTGCAAGACCAGCACACACACAGCTGAGCAGGATGGGTGAACACCTACGGAGAGGTTTCAAATGAGAGGCTAAAGAATTTTGGAGGAGGAAGCCAGTGGCAGTCCTGCATGGTGAATATGATTCTGCAGTGGCTAAAGGGCTTTGAAGGAGGCAGGCAGGAAAATCAGCTAAGAGCTCAAGGATTGATAAAGATCTGAATTAAAGCAGAGGAGTAAGACTGAAAAGAAGGAGACCCTTGTTGGGGTTGATTTAAGAGAAAAGGTGACCTAACTTGGTATCTTGGTAGACTCAAGGAATGAAAGAGAGAACAAAGCCCTTAAGGTGTCAAGCCATGACTGGCCAGGAGAATAGCAGTCTGAGTGAAAGACAAGCCCCTTGAGAGGCAAAGCAAGTTTCCGAGAGTAATAATGAAAGACATTTTCAGCTGTGGACAACAGCAGGTCAAAGATAAGCCAAGGAAACTGGATATGAATACTGAGAGCATAGGTAACACAGGTGAGAATGATCAGTTCTTAGAAGTTACTCAGAGAAAGAGAAGCCCCACAAAGTCCTAAAGAATGTCCACAGTTAGGGAGTAAAAAGAAACACAATCAATAGGCCAGGCATGGTGGCTCACTCCTATAATCCCAGCACTTTGGGAGGCCAAGGTGGGTGGATCACATGAGGTCAGGAGTTCGGGACCAGCCTGACCAACATGGTGAAACCCTGCCTCTACCAAAAATACAAAGTTAGCTGGGCATGGTGGCGCATGCCTGTAATCCCAGTTACTTGGGAGGCTGAGGGAGAAGTGCTTGAACATGGGAGGCGGAGGTTGCAGTGAGCTGAGATATCGTGCCATTGCACTCCAGCCTGGGCAACAAGAGGGAAACTCCATCAAAAAAAAAGAAAGAAAGAAAGAAAGAAAGAAAGAAAAAGGAAATAGAAACAGTAAAACAAAGCTGTAATTGGTACACCAGGACAGTACATACATCTACCAACCCAAAGCAATAAAAAACTTTGAGAAGCGTAATGATGAATGAACACTAGAAATCAAAGAAAATGACAGGTTAATGCCATTGGATTTTATGTTTAAAAGGAGTGTGGCGGTGGCTTTCTAAAATGCAATTTTGTAGTAGAATGCTCAAAAGAGAACAGGCTGTAAAGGCAGAATCACCACAGGGGAGCAACTGACTTCATCCCCAGCAAGTTTCAGAGGGGAAGCTTAGATTGCCATTGGATTCCTAATGGGTGGTTTGTTGTTCTTGTTTTTCAACAGGCTGAATATGCTTTCCACATTTAAAAAGATGCTTTGGCAACAGAAGTCCAATTCTGAATGAATGAAAGATACACAATGGGGGCTTAAAAAAAATAAAAGCAAACAGAAGGTATGAGGTGGGAATCATAATAAATATTTTTCTATATAATCGGTAAGTTTCATTGATCACAAAAGACAACACATCATAGTTCCTAAAATTCTCCACTGCCTCAGTATGGCTTGCAGCATCATGCCTCACAGTGCCTGACCAAGCGTTTTCAAACACTCACCATCGTGAGCGGTTATTAAAAATGAGGATGCCTGGGTCTCACCCCTACTTCCTGTGGAGGAAAGAAGATTTGGTGAGAGAAGAAGGAATAGTGATGGAGGCCATAAATCTGGAGTTTGCCTATTACATCAAGTGATGCTGCTGTGGGTTTGGTGCTATCTTGATGCCTACAGGTCACTGGCACTTATTTTTGGAGGCCCCACCTCAAAATCGCCTCAAATGTATTTGAATGCACCCTCAACTCCTATTAAATATTTTTTGGCTTTTAGCTGTTTGAAAGAATTTTTATAATTTTGCCCAATGGAAAACAGGTGATTTAGCCAGGTTCAGTGGGTCATGCTACTTTGGGGGGGGG